TAACAGATCAATGGGAATAGAAGATACACAACACTTATGAAATGGGTCCACGGAAATGATGCTGTAGAGTTTGACAGGTATAGAATGTCCTTACCTCATCTCTCACTTGCAGGTTTATAATATCCTCCCCTAATCTTCCATAAGGAATTTTATGTTCAACCTGAAATATATATGAAACCTGTTCCTTGTTCTCATGGCACTATTCCCACGTACACTACGGCTGTAATTTACAAGCAGAATCACAACTCACAAACAGCAGAAAAACTTGCACAAATATTGAAGGACGGGGATTGCCAAAGCAGTATTATTCCCTATTGACCAAGTATCAGGCCCTCTGTCTCTGGCATCTGCCCCACCCCGTGATCCACTAATCCAAATTTTACTCATTACTGACTGGCATATATGACTGGCATGTATATGGCATACATGGTTTGCCTTATGTATTGTGTTCTTCTGCATGATTTTTTTTAAAGCAGGAGTAAGCAGTGTAATGATGAGAGGTGAAATCAATCTCTTCCCATGAAAACTCATTCCTGGATCACAAAAGTCCCTTGACTATTACTGAACAATTTATTTGAAACAAACTGTAAATAATAGTTTTGTAAATGTTCTTTTTTAAAAGGTAGGCAGGAAATCAACTGGTCTGTTTTAAACAATCTCAGTGGTTAAAGGACAGACAAATGTATCTAAGAATGTAAGCAACAGCATTTATTTTCTGAACACCTGAGATCCAAGAAGAGACAATGAGAAGCAGAGGCACAAAATTATGCACCTGACTAGAAGGGTTATTTTCTAATTTACTGGAGAGGAAAGAATCTACCCATTTGGAGAAATTATATCCCTATCACAGCCTACAGTACAAGTGATAGAGGAAATGGTTATCACTCAGATAAAACAAAACCTTCACACTTAAAATGACAGCTGCTTTGAAACAATGGAATATCAGGCTTTTGTTGTCTGAAACCTAATTCGACTCAGTTTGATGGGAGTTTTTCATGCACATCCAAGAAGAACTTGACCCTTAAATACTTATTTGGTAAAACAGCAATCCTACAAGCAATTATGCATGTGTTTAACTTTACTCCCATCACGCAAGCACTCAAAATAGTATAAGGAATAGTAAAATGACTGAAGGATTGGGCACTTAGAAGACTGAAATTCAGGTTATGAAGTCCAGTATTTTGCATACAAACAGCTCACTGTATACCAGTCAGCTGGTTAGTAATACTAGCAAAAAGCGTGGAAGTTCTTTTCTAGAACGTCTTCACTTTTAATGTTATCAATTAATTTTGTAACTGGATAAATCATTACCTGTGAAACCTCTTCAGTGACATTTGGTGCTGGCTTTGAAAGATATATTGTATTGTCTGTAGCTACAGTAAAAAATATGCAGAATCACAAGACTAGATAAATGAAGGACCGTGAAGCAATTACTTAATTCATGGTGCTACATATTGTCCATAAACCAAAACCAGCTTCCTGATTAATCCTCATAAAATAAACTCTTTCAAAATAATGCTATATCACAACAGTGGCAGCAGCAAGTCTGTTTCACAATGCTAGAAGAAAACCTTGCTAGACTTCATCACTTATTTCCAAAGTTAACAAAATCTGACCTAAATTCTGATGGATTGCAAAAATAGTCATCAGCAGATTCCAGATTTTTTAAACAAGCCTCTCCTAGTGTGTCATACTTTCAAAAAATGCTGCGTGCCTGACTATCATGTAAGGAGAATGCTGCCTTTTCCCATCATTTAGTAATTTAGTTTATCTGGTCAAACATCATATTGACTTTTAATTTGTTTTCTAGAAGAGGAGGGTTCAGGACAGTGATTCTCAACCAGGGTGCATGGAACTCTGGGTGCCTCAAGATCCTTTCAAGGGTGCCACAGGGTGCCACACAATGTTAGCACTTAAGTTTACAACCCTGACACACAAGACAAACCCAGAGACTTCAAATACACATCCACAGCTGTGGTCTTTCAGAGTTCTTTGCAACAGAAAAACTGCTAGAGCAGTTTCTGTAAACAAAAAACCCCCAAGAAAAGTGAAAAATAAGAGCTGGCATTTTTCAAGGGGTGCCTCAAGTCTATCCATGGGTGCCTGGAGTCTCAGAAGGTGAAGAAACACTGGTTTAGGGGAAGCATGGAGGAGGGAGGGGGTCACATGGAGGAGCTGCTGATGCATGTACCAATATCAGCAACATGAACTCTGGAGTTAGGGAAGCACTGAAATCAAATTGCTCTAGTGGGATCGTGACTTGCTTTATGTGATGCTTTTCCTTGCTTTCACTGTGAACCAAAACCAACAAAGAAACAAAGGAAAACAGGTTATTAAGATCTTTTTTTTACTCATACAATACAATAAGAGGTTAAATTCATAACACATCTGTAAATCAAAAGCAAGCCCCACCCCTGCACTTTTAAATCTCTAATTGGATGGATGGGGCAGGAGGAAGATGGACAGATTGTTGTTTTTTCTAAAAAAGATATAAAACTCAGGAAAAAGTATCTGTTGGAAACTTGATGTATTGCAATTATTTTTTTCTGCCTACCTGGATAAATATGCACACTATAAATGTGCATATTAAAATGCATGCACACTTCCATATATGCTATGTATATTCAAGGCTTTGTACATTTTCCATTCTTTCTCTTAATGATATGGCTAGAATTTGTGCATTAAGAAAGATACTGATGCCCCTTAATCCCCCTGTTGAATAATTATGTTTGCTGTATATAATATGTATTAGCCCACTTGCCATACTTGCGACTCAACTTGATGCAATAGGTGGCATGATACATAAATGGGATGCAAGAGGTGGGTGCAGAGAGAAACTCAATGGATTTATTGCAAAATGAACTAGTTTCACTTGTTTCCTTTATATCAGGGGTGTCAAAGATACAGACCACTTAGCCCCATCATCCAGCCCCCTGTCCCCAGACATGTCCCCACATGCAGAGGTGTGTGCTTGCAGTAGCAAAAATAGTAGCAGCACAAATTTGTGCTGCTGCTATTTTTGCCGCTGCACACACCCCCACGTTAGCTTGGTGCAGAGCAAAATACCTCATTTTGGACAAATTGCCCTTTCCCTGCTTAACATGCTGGGCATGCGGTTTGTGGCACCACAAAGAGGTTTGTGGTGCCAAAAACTGCATGTGCCTGCACATCTGGATCCAGCCCTTAGGTTCAAAGTTCATCCATACACTACTGGACCAGCCTCACATGCATGACCCAAGACCTGTACTGCACACAGCACCCATGCAGAGCCTGCTTCAGCTGGTCCAGGACTTGTGTTGCACTTGGCAGTTGCCCTAGATCAGTGTCCGAAGTTAACATGTAAGAAGAAATATCACTGAATTAGAGTAGAAGAAATAACATAGCTTGAAGTCTTGTCTTGGGACTAAATGAAGTGGACTCAAATCAGAAACAGTATTGAAATGCAGTCAATCAGAAGCAAGTATTGCTGTGACGTCATTTGCTCTTGATGGCTATCCTCTAGCCTTCTCTTCTCACAATGCTCCACTGGCTATTGCACAACTTGGAAATTTTCACTTTTGAAATGGGTACAAAAGCAAAACCTACACCCAAGTTAGGAGACAGAATGGAAGGCAGCAACCAATAAGTGCGTATATATGTGCATACAACCGCATAAATGTGATGGGGAGGAGACAGCTTTGGCTAAGGGCACCTTTCACAAAAACATTCAAGGAACTTAGAGGTTATACTGAGTTGATGAGACTAAAATTTTAAGGTCTCCTTGAAAGATTCATAGTGAACTAACTATACAGGTCTTATTACATAGACAAATAGGCACATAAAACTTCTATTCTAGAAGAAATTGTAAATCCTAATTCTGTGCTGATGCCATATCAAACTGTATGATGCCCTTTCTCCCACCACATTTCCACTGACCCTCACTCCCACTGGTCTGCTCAGGATAGCTGTTCGTCTCTATTTTACTTGTCAGCTGTCCATCTCAGTATGTTGTTTCTAGCTGTATGACACTGATCATACTTTGTTCTGTAAGCCATTAACTCCTTAGACTCCCTTTTTCTAGGAAATATTTTGAGAATTTTTTGTGTAAAAGATGACTTAAAAATCAATTATAGCGTAAAATAAGTGTAAGGGGAAAAGGATTTTTTTTTTTAAACCGGGAAACATTTTGTAGAATGTATTTTGTAGAATATTAAAACCACTTGTAATCTTTGTAAGCAGTTCTGGGTTGTACACTGTAGCCAAAATTTAGCAATTTTCAAAACTATTAGCTCTGTTAGGTTGATGTGCCCAAGGCAATTCAGTAACCATCAGATGATGAAGTTTACTAATGTACTGCTTAAACCTTTGGCTTTACTTCCAAACTGTTTAAAAGCATACTACTATAAAAGCATAAAGATTGCAGACATGTCTGCAACACAAAGTAATACACAATATAGTAGTTTACCACAGGCTGCAAGGAGAAAAGCAAGAAGTTCTCCATAGCTTCATATCCTCTCCCTTCCCCCAACCAAATATTTATCACATCTGAAGGAACAGCATACCTTGGCTGAACAGAATCAAATATACCATGTGATTCTACTGAAGTTGCTGGCTTAAAAATGCTGTTTGTTTTCAGCTCTTCACTCCAAATTAGTTACCATCTGCTTAATCTCTATTGGGATCTTTGTGTATTCTACCTCCTACAAAAAGGAATGCTATGTATAAATGCAGCACTTGGGAGGTGAGGGAATCCTTGCTGCAGGAGAAGAGAAAAAAAATGTCTCTGCTTGGTTATAACCATTTGCCTTTTACCATTTATTTACTCAGACTGTAGAAAAGCAAGCGAGTTCAGGTCATTTCCTGACTAACATTGCAAGTTAGAACAAAAATACACATTCTATTAATCTTTAATCGAACTGCCTGCAGACTAAAAGCCCAAGCGGGAATGATACAGTATTTAAAATAAATAAATAACAACAACAACAAAAAAAAAAAAATCCAAGGACACTGGGTCTGCTTACCTCACTCAGCTCCGCAGAGGAGTCATTTCCATATTTCATAGCAACTCCAGAATTCATGATTAGAGTTTTCAAGGTTTGGCTATTTCTACAGATTTTAATGTTTCCAACCTTTGCTCAATGGATTCAACACTCCATTCTCCTCCAAGATTTTTCTGTCTTGCACATTTTGCTTTAGACAGCCATTTTCAGTCAACAATTATACAGCCTAAATTAATGATGCAAGGGCTCCTAAAACAGCCAAATTGGTTTTCATTTCACAAACAATCCATTCCTGCAAGAGACTCATTAACACTGCAGAGTGCACGATCGCAGAGAATGCAGACAGACAGTAATGATCTCTTCAGTATTAAAATTGCCAAAGTCCACGTGAAATCTATGATTCAGCTCTGCCTTTAGTTTTATTTTGCCCTTTTTCCCAGCTAGGTTTGAGGGCATCTCCCATAGGAGTTAAATGTACTGGGAACTATTTCATGAGCTTCACACAAATTCACCGCGAGAACAGTGCTGCTAAGTCTTCAGCGAAGAGGAAGAGAAGGGGAAAAAAAGCAGAGACAAACCGATGCTGCACTTCACGCTAAAGTTTCCTCTTCCACTGAGCCTGGAGTTGTAAGTGGTTTATGATCAAACACAGCTGTCTTGCTGCTGGCTAAGGGGAGCATGGAAGGGGCGGTTCTAAAGGAGAGAGCTGGTGGGAGGGAGAGAGAGCTACAGAGAGTTCATTTTGGAATTGCAGGCATCTTTCCAGCCTTCTACATATTACTGATTGCTATATGCAAAACTATAAAGCAAAGTAAGCAACAGGAAAAGCCACCTAGATAACCATGAAGCTAATTCACATTTTCCCTACTCCCACAAGCAATTAAATTTGCTTCTTTGTATTGTTTTAGAAAGTCTTTAACAAATCTGATAGCTCTATTACAAAGACATAGATCTGACATAGGACGTTACAATTTTACAAAGGATTAAGGCAAATACCAGTATTACCAAATAAAACAAAAAGTAAAACAACTGAATTCAGCATCTAACTAGCAGTGAAGAAGAATCCTTAGGACCATGGATTCTTATAAAGAATGTGCTGACAGGCCAGACAACAAACCATTTAATATAGGCCTTGTCTTCCCAGCCTCCTCCCCTTCCCAAAGTCTATGGCTGTCCTAAGCCCTCTGCTCACCCCAAATTTACTCTGCTTTGCTTGGCTGAGAAGAACTGCTGAAGTTTAGTAGTGTCCTAGCACCAGTGGTTGAAGCCTGTCTGATCACCTGGAGTACTTAATCCACAGTACTTTTAAAGTGTCAACCCCTATAAGAAGTGTTTCTTAATGAAGAGTAAAAATAAATCCATAGGCCTGTGATACAATCCTTGCATATCTGGCAAATGCATTTAAAAAGGAAACAATGCTGCCAAGAGCAGCAATGGGAAAATCAGCCTCTGCTCACGCTTTTTAATCATAGGATCAATTATAATAATTGGATACAAAGATAATTCCTGTTAATGACACTGAAAAACTTATAAAGATGAAAGACAAAAGGTACTGAAAACACTAGTACCTAAACTTTTTGAGTATGGGCACTGCCTATGGTAGATCAGGATCTGGGGATTCCCCCCCAAGACCTGGCAGACAGATACTTTAAGTACATTTTAGTACGCTGACCTACTCTGGCTCTATCTTCCATTCCATATCATTTTCCTAACTTTGTATTCTAGTATAATGTCTTTTCTTTCCCCTATCTAAATGATACCTACTCTGTCTTCCACCTAAATTTTCTGTATTCTTCCCTGTCATTTGAAACTTATTTTCTCTGTCTCATCTCAACCACCAAATCAATGGCCTCAGCACTCTCCTGTGTTCCTCCCAATGTATCCAAGCATATGTTCATTTGCACTTCCCCTCAGCTGTTGACAATAGGCTGCACTGCTCTCTGCTGGCAGAACCTTATTGCAGCACAGCAAGGAACAAGAGGGGAAAACAAACGGAAAGGGTGAGCTTTCCCACTGGCAGCAGCCCAGCAGCTCTGCGTAAGTCAGAAAGGTGACCTATGTAAAGCCTGGCCTTTCTAGAAGACTGAAAGACACAAAAGTACTGAGAAATATATGCTCTTATTTTATTGTCCACATCAGTTATGATTATGAATATTACTTACCTGCAGACTGTAAGACTGGGTGGATTTTCTTCTGGGAAAACAATGAGGCCTGACAGTGAATTACCATAAACTATTTTTGGTACAATGCAAACCTTGATTTATTTAGATTTCAAAGTTCACCTTCTATTTTACTTAAATTAAACCTGAGTGGAAGATTAGGAATAACTCTACCGTGCAAAAGTAAAATTCACAGTGGAGACCTAGACTTTATCCTCACCCCTCAACCTTTAACACTATTATAATTAAAGATGAAACATATTATTCTTTACAGGATTACCGCTCCCCACCCACAAAACATACCCCAACTGGTTGAGATAGGAAGATATGGCCCAAACTATCTTTGTATTACTTTCTTAGCTGGTCTTTCTGCACTAGTGGTTGTCTAGGCATTGGTTGAGAGACTGACTCATGACCCTATAATCCAGAAAAGAAGCTTTGGTGTTAAGTACAGTAGTATATGCATATGAAGCAAACACACAACTTTCAAAACATTTTTCAAAGATTCCACACTTTGTGCACCCAAATACTGCTAATACTCTTATTCTCTTGCTTTCAAGTGTTGCCAGTTATAGAGCAGAAAAAGATTAGGAATTATACTTGGGGGGGAAAAAAACCAAATAAATCAACACTGGAATTCAAATACTTTCAGACATGCTCAGGGACAACAGAAAATTCAGCCAAAAAATATCCAACTAAAAATGAATGTGGGGCTAAACCAAACACTTAAACTATATATATATTAATCCCAGATGACTCTTGGTAGTAACGGTGGAACTCTGCACCTAGATTATATAAGATTACGTGACCTCTGAACTATAAAAAGGAAGTGTGAGCAGGGAGTAAATGGAGCTACACTGTTTTCAATGGTGGCAGATAACAGAACAAGAAGCAATGGTCTCAAGTTGCAGCAAGGGAAGCCTAAGTTAGATGTTAGGAAAAACTTTCTCACTAGGAGTAAAGCACTGGAACAGGCTACCCAGAGGCTGTGGAATCTCTGTGCTTAGGCGATTGTTAAGACCTGGGTAGACAAAGCCATGGCTGGGATGATATAGGAGGAAGTTGGCCCTTCTTTGAGCCAGGGGTTGGACTAGATGACCTCCCGAGGTCCTTTTCAACCCTAAGTTTCTATGATTTTGCTGGATATTTCATGTAAAAAAGGTACTTAGCAATTCTCAAGGGTTTTTCACTGTGTTCTAAGGAGCAGAACTAGGGGCCCCAAACTAGAAAAGATGCATGTACCTGCTTTGCTTTGTCAGTAGCCCCACTAACTACTCATGGTGTAAAGTTATACAGGTGGTTATATCTTTGCAGGATCAGAGCCCCAAGCTACAGTAAGATTAAATAAAAAGTTATATTTTGATCTTTAATATGGAAAACTGTTCTGGCATGGAAATTACCATATTTACTCTAATGGCAAAGAGGTATGTTTTGGCAAAGTTTAAAAACGTTGTGTCAAAATTATCTTGAGTTATAAACATCAAAAACCATCCTGAAATTAAGCACATGAACACACCACAGCTAGTCACTATCTCCTTCCAACTTTCCACGTGACTAAACATCCTTGAAAACGTTTTTATATAAGTACATTTTAAGATATAAAGACTAGTAAAGCAAATATATTAATGCTTTTTTTGGCGTGGACAGTTCAGTGCAAGGTGAATTAGACCCCTATTTCAAAAGGTGCTTACAGCCCTGTAACAGGACCCCTAATCCTGTTCTCACTGATTATTAGCAACAGGACTTTTTTGTTTTTGTTTTTAATTTGTCATTGACTCTTAACAGAGACAGGATTCAGTACCAAGTGTTCGTGTAAGCAGGCTGCCCTCTCCTGGCTGATTACAGCTTAAAAAACATGCAGCATCCTTCCATAGATAAACTGACAACAAAGCTCTCCTTTTAGTGTATGAGAAAGTAGTGGTCACCAACTAGTGGATCTTGATCCACCAATAGATCTCGGAGCCTCTTGGAGTTGATCCAAGGCTAGGGTGGGGGGCCGAGTGTCCATGTGTATGTACACACGCACCCCAGCCCAGCAGGTCAGTCCATGGGGGAAGGAAGGCATGCAGACTAGATCGAGGCCCCTGTGGTAAAGGACAGTGCCGCAAAGCAAGAGCACAGGTAAGTTGAGTGGGGCTCCCGCTGGGTGCGACTTACCTGCTGGGGAGGTGTGCCCCCAAATAATTTTTTCTCCCTCCGCCTTGATCTGCCCCTCCCCACAGACTTACCTGCTGGGAGGGAGGGAGGGGTGTGTGGTGGCAGTGGCACATAGTAGATCTTGGGTTGCTTTTAAATGCCAAAGGTGATCTACTTAAAAAGGTTGGAGATCTCTATATTAGAGCCTTTGCTTCTGAAGATGTTAGACCAGGGGTGGGCAAAATGTGGCCCGCGGGCCGGATGCAGCCTGCCAGGCCATTCTATCCAGCCCACGGGGCCCCTAAAAAAAATTTAGAAAATTAATATTTGGCTACCCCTGGCTGCCTGTCATGCAGCCCTCGATGGCTTGTCAAAACTCAGTAAGCAGCCCTCTGCACGAAATAACTGCCCGCCCCTGTGTTAGACCAAAGTTTCTGGTCCTGCAATAAAGTGCAGACACCAACTTTATTATGTAGAGATAATACCTTCCTCAGAGTAATCATTAACTTTGATCTCCCTTGTAAATTCATGATTATGGTATCACATTTTTTCAAGTATCTTATTATTGACATCTAGACCGTGTTTCAAAGTTTTTGAATAATTAAAAGATTTGCAAATGGCTCCCCTTTGAAATTTTTATGAATTGTCTACCATTTCTTCAGGTCCTTTTATAAGTGCAATAAAACCACATCACATCCCAAAAATGTAAAACCTAGGCAGCTTTAATTGACCACCTCCAGGCAGCCTCACTGCTTTTAATCCCTATGCAGTGCTCAAGTATGGTACCGTGGTGATAAGAACATTATAAACGCCAAAATACATTTTTACATTGATTTGTGCTGCAGGCAACCTTCAAGGGCAAAAAACAGTAAATTCTTAAAGAAACTGTCAAGCTTTTTTATTGCTATGCAGAGGAAGGACAGTCTTGTGGGTCAAAGAATTCTACAGGGAACTGTGGGCTTCTATTTCTGGGTCTAACATCATACTTGTGTGCCACCAGAGACTATTTGCTTACATTCTCTCTGACTTGGCCCCTCAGCTATAAAATAAGGATAATAACACTTCCTTTCTCTCACCTTTTGTCTAATATTTAGATTATATATGACAAGACAAAAAACCCTGTTTTAATGTATATTTATATGCTGCCAAACCTATTAGGGTCTTGATCTCAACTGAGGCCTGCAATAATGTAAACAAGGAGCACTAGCAACTAATGGGACATGTCTAGCTGTCATGGAAGCTGATGGAGAAAGAAGTATACCAATAAAGCCAAATGCTATAAAATCAAACATAGTGAGCTGAGCTACTGGATGTTCACAATGCATTGTCATCATTGAGTG